TCAGAAGTCCGGCGGATGTGGGAGGAAGGTGCCCGAACTGCGCCCGCTCAACGAGCCGGCCGGCGTAGACGGCGTGGGGCGCGAGCCAGCCCCCGAGCGGAGGCCCCGGGAGTACAGAGAGACACGGCCTCTGTCACTGAGGGTTCCCCCGCCTCGCCGCCCAGCGCCAACCCAGTGCGCCGCGTGCCGTCCGCTGCCGCGTGGCGCGCGCTCGATGATGTTGATCTCGCGACGGAGTTCCGTCATCCGGTCGCCACTCTGCAGGATGTGCCGGGTTTTCTGCGCTCGGCGCTGCGTGCTGCGATGGTGCAGGCCTTGCGCCAAGTCCGTGCCGCCCATGACGCGCCGAGGGCCGGCGACCCCGCCGCCTGCGCACGGGCTTGGAAGCTTTTTGTACTGGCCCCGCGCATGCTGCTTGCGCGCGTTGGGCAAAAAGGGCCAGAGGGGAGGCAGGCGCTCTTGGATAGAGTGGTCGCTTTCCAACGAGGCGACTGGCTCGCCTTGTTGCGGGCAGCACGTGGAAGCGCAGCGAACTCGCGCGCTGTGGCGGGTGGTGAAGCAGATGACGAACGCCGCATGCAGGCAGCCTGAAGTCTCGCGCGCGCGCCAGCTCCTCACTGCTGCGGAGCTTGCGCCCGGCACTGAGGCGACTTGGGAGGCGCTCACCGACCCCGAGCGTCGGCCCCCTGAGCCACGAGACCACATGCCCAGCGACGTGATGGCGTTCACCCCCGACGCTTTGCCACGCATCACTCCTGATGCCCTGGCTGCGGCCTTGCGCACCAGCAAGCGAGGCAGCGCGCCTGGCCTGTCAGGCATGCGCGCGGAGCATCTGCAAGTGCTGCTGGACGCAGAGGGTTTGGAACTGCTCGCGTACGCGGGCACCTGCTTGGCCAGAGCGGAAGTGCCGTCCGAAGTCGTCGCGGCCCTTGCTTTGGCCCGCCTCACGGCCCTCAGCAAACCCAATGGGGGCGTCCGCGGCATTGCGACTGGAGATACCTTCCGGAGGCTGGTCTCGCGCGTCCTTGCCAGGCAGTGGGCTAACGTGTTCGACGCTGCCACGCAGCCATTCCAGTACGCGTTGCAGGCGCGCGCTGGCACGGACGCGCTGGCAGCCCTGCTTCGCACTGAGTTGGAGCTGCGGCCGGACACCACGATAGTCTCGTTGGACGGGCGGAGTGCGTACGACTGTATCTCTCGCAGGGCTTTTCTGACAAAACTGCGGGAGGTCGCGCCAGCGCTCGTCCCCTTTGTCCGGCTCTTCTACGGGCAGCCGTCCACGTACTGCTGGTGGGACGATGCGGGGCGCCTCCGGGAAGTGCGCCAGGGCAAGGGGTGTGAACAAGGGGATCCGCTTGCGCCAGCCTTGTTCGCGCTGGGACAGCACGATGCGCTGGTTGGGGCTGCGGCTACGCTCCAACCGCATGAAGAGCTAGCCGCCTTCCTTGATGATGTTTACGTTGTCACCACGGCGCCGGGAGCGCGGCGGGCGCTGGACGGAGAACCCGCGCCCGGCAACATAGCGGCGCTTGGAGATGGCGTCTGGTGCTCGGACAAAGCGACCCACGAGCGTGGCCTTGTCGTTCTGGGCACGCCCATCGGCCACTCAGACTTCGTACACACGTGGTCCCAGAACCGCGTAGCGACGGAGCGCGTGTTCCTTGACATGCTGCCCCGCGTCCCGGATCTGCAATGCGCGTGGTTGTTGTTGGCCATGTGCGCGGCTCCCCGAGCCAATCACACCCTCCGCACTGTACCGCCCACCCAGGCCGCACCTTATGCCGCGGCGCACGACGAAGCCTTGTGGGACACGCTGCTCCGGTGCTTGGGTGGCTCGCCGCCCGATGGTCTCGCGTATGCGCGGGATGTCGCGGGCCTCCCGGCTGCCATGGGCGGCCTGGGGCTGTGCTCCGCTTCGCGCGTTTCTCCAGCGGCCTATTGGGCGGGGTGGGCAGACGCGCTCACCGTCATACAGACGCGCCGGGCCGGCTTCGCGGAAGCGCGGGTCGCCGAGCTCAGCTCCCCAGCGCACGGGCCCGGTCCGCCTAGCTTGCGGGAGGCGGAGGCGGCCCGAGCACAGTTGCAAGCAGAAGGTTGGACTACTGTTCCATCTTGGCAGGACTTGCTGGAGGGCGCGCGCCCCCAGCACAACCACCAGGCTGTAGGCCTTGGGGACTGGCCGCACGGCTGGCAGTTTCACGCGTCGCGAATACGCCACTCCCACTTCCGCGACCGCGTGCTCTTGCCTTCCTTGCCGCCGTCTCTGAGGGCGTTGCTCCGGTCCCAAGCGGGGGCTCAGGCTGGTGCCTGGCTGACAGCCATCCCGGCTGATGTGTCTACCGCATTGTCGCTCAGGTTCCATGCAGGTTGCGCTGCGGCGCAGGATGCGGCTCCCGCTGCCCATCGCTCCCAACCGATGCGGGGGTGAGGGGCCCGGCTGCGGAGGCGTCGCTGACGCTTTCGGGGATCATGCCCTTGCTTGCCCGCGGACTGGTCTGCTCGCTCGGCGCGCGAAGGTTGTCGAGCGGGCCTGGGTGCGGGTCGCGCGCGAAGCTGTGGGCCCAGAAGGTCAGGTGGTGCCGCAGCAGTGGCTCGCCCACACCACGGCCGTTGGAGTCGACGCGCGGGACAGACGCCGCTTGGACCTGGTCATCTACGGTGTTTCCCCGCGGGGGGAGGCACTCTGCTGCGACGCCACGCTTGTGTCGCCGCTGACGCGCTCGGGAGCCCCTCAGCCCCGGGCGTCGGAGGAGGACGGAGCGGCCTTGCGGGTGGCTGAGCGCCGGAAACGGGCGACGTACCCTGAGTTGCTCGCTCAGGGGCCGCAGCGGCTCCTGGTGCTTGGCTCGGAGGTAGGCGGGCGCTGGAATGACGAGGCCTTGGGGCTCGTGCGGGACCTTGCGCGCTGTCGCAGCTTGCGGGCCCCCCCTGCTGTGCGCCGGCCAGCAGCCCAAGGGTGGCAGCGGCGCTGGTGGGCGCAGCTTTCCGTTGCGGTGCAGCAGGCCGTTGGGTCCACGGCCTTGGGCCGCGCATGGCCGGCAGCGCCTCAGGGCCCCGGCCTGCCCGAGCCGCTGCTGGAGCACGTGCTCAGGCTCGCCGCGGATGCGGGCGCGAGCCGCCTGCCCTTGCGCGGCTGAGCTGCTTGCCTCGCACTCGGCGCGGGTGCTGGTCTGTTCCAGCCGGCGTTTCACTTGCGATGCTTGGAAAAAGGCGCGCGAAAAAAAAAAAAAAAAGACACCTGGACCATGGTGTGAGTTTGTTAATGAATCATGCAACAACACAGAGGTCCAGAGGGATGTGCGATTTGGATTTGTTCTTGGAGGGGTATTTAGTTTAGGATTTTTTTTTAATGTTTTTTCTTCGCTTTTGATTTTTTGACTTTTTGGCTTCTTGGCTTCTTGGCTTTTCGGCTTCTTGGCTTCTTGGCTTTTTGGCTTCTCGGCTTCTTGGTTTTTCGGCTTCTTGTTGGTTTGTGCGGCTTTTGGTGGCTTTTTGGCTTTTCGCATCCTCTGCATTCCCAGTGGCGTTTTGGTTTTTGCGGCTTTTTGCTGGTTTATGCGGCTTTTGGCGGCTTTGGCTTTTCGCATCCTCTGCTTTCCCAGTTCCTCTCCGGGCGTTTTGGCTTTTGCGCCCTGTCATTGTTTTTTTTTGGATTTGGCTTCCCGCATCATCGAACATCATGGGGGGGCTCCCCTGCTACTTTTTAGATTGTTTGCAGAGCAATTGCACCCCTATTTGAATCAACACTTCTTCAAACATCATGGTGGCGCCGCTACTCCAATTGCACCCCCATTTGAACCATCACTTTTTCGAGCGTCCAATTTCGCGAGAAAATGCTGTAAAATACGACATTTCAGGTAATCTATGTAATCCATGTATGTCTGTATGTATGCACTTCTTCGAACATCATAGGGGAAGCCACCCCCGCCAACCCTCCCGCTGCCTTTCAAATTCTATCGCACCCGTTCTTGAATCATTGCACCCCTACTTGAATCATCACTTCTTCGAACATCATGGGGGGGGCGGCAGCCCCCCAACCCCCCCGCTCCGCTACTTCTTAGACTTTTTGCAGAGCTATTCGAATCATCACTTCTGCGAACATCATGGGGGGGCGCCCCCCCCCCCCAACCCCCCCGCTACTTGTTTTTTTGGAGATTGAAATGCCCTCCTGTTTGAATCATCATTTTTTGACCCCGTCAACCCGCCAGCTACTTTTTTGATTCTGTTACCCACAATTTGTTGGTGATGCTAGGGATGTTGGTCGGACATGCCTAGTGTAAAATGCATCAGTTTTACGAGAACATGCTGTAAAATACGATATCTTGCTGGCCCGGACAAAAAACGGAAAAAGAAGAAGAAACAACAACGAAACAACTAAATCCGCACCCTTTGTTCTTTGCAGGTGCCAGCGGCTGCATGGAACGTGAAACCGGGGAGTACGTCATGCCGGCTTGTGTATGGCACTGGGTCAGCAGTGGCAAAGCTTCAGTAGTTGCAAGGTGATGGCGGGTGGCCTTTGTGGCTGAGACAATAATGCAGTTGTGTAAAGGCAGTCGGGTCAGCGGGTGCCTGTGGCAGGATGCCGATGTGTGGCGGCCAACGCAGCCCTTCCAGGCGGCTTCTGGGTGGCTGTCGAGCAGCTGTTGGTTTGCAATCATGCGGTGCGCTGGGAGTGAGATTTATATTGTGCTTGTCACAGTGAGGGGTGGTGCTCGGACATTACATTACATGAGTTGCATATGTTGACATTTGCAGCACGACGCAGTTGATGTTGGGCGATGCTGAGTACGTTGGTCTAGTTTGAGCGTGGCTCAGGCTCCACGTTTCTTGGCTGAACCTTGCCGAAAGGTAGCCCCATGAGAGAAGCAAATGCTTGATTCAACACAGTGCAGCAGTTTGCATGGCGTATTCTCCTAGCTAGCAATTCCAAGCTGTACTCGCACCCAGTGGTCAACTACCGCAGTGTGCGCTCAGATTCAACGCAGATTGCAATTGGCTCAGCAGATGGCAGTTGCGACGTGCGCTTTTGGGAGTCTGATAGATTGCCTGCCATGCCATCCAGCGGCCGAGAAAACCTAGGCTGAAAGCTGTGCGTGTACTGTGCTGTCAATTTGAAGCGGGATGTCTGTGGATTCCAGCAGGAAAAAGGGAGACACGCCGAAGGTTAGGCCACAGGGCCGAATCTGTGAGACAAATGACCCACAGAGCCAACTGTCTGTTTTTTGTTGGGTTTGGAGGGGGGTTAACGGTGTCATGCGTTGCTTTGTTAGGCGCTTTGTGGACACAACGATGGAAGTTTGGGTGGCGCCGTGCGTTCTAAATCCGGGCAGCTTCCGATCTGATTGAGGTGTTTGAATCTGCCTCTTCCTGCTGCTTTTCCTCTGCTGCTGCTGCTGCTGCTGCTGCTGCTGTTGCTTCTGCTTCTGCTGCCTGCTTTTGCTGCTTCTCTCACTGCTGCTCTGCCTGCTGCTCTCCCTGCTACTTTTGCTGCTGCTCTTCCTACAGCTCTTGCCTCTTGCTGCCACTCTTGTTCTTGCTGCTTGGTGCATGGCGTGTGCAAAAAGGAGGTTGAACATTCGCTCCTTGGACAGGCTGGAAGATCGGCAACAAGGAGCCAGACGGGTTGCCGTGTAATTCTTGTTGGACGCCGGGCATTTGCTGGGCCCTACCCTAGATGTACTTTTCAAAATGACCCGTTTGACAGGACATCGGTGCTTCCTTTACCAAGCATCGGGATCGGACAGATGCTACTGGGCAGCAGTTGGATTTGCTTGGAAACGCCAGCCGCTTTTGTCGGCTCCTGCCAATGGCCTCGACACGACCAAATTCCGCTCACTGGACTTGCTGGGGATTCTTGGGCAGGGTTTGGTGCTTGGCTAGCCGCCCGCAGCTTCTCCAGGCACACAGCACGTGGTTCAGGATGCATAGTTGCCATGTGGGAACCAGGTAAGGCAGGTGAACAGGTTTATCAGTTTGCCAAGGTTGCGCTACTTCCGAAAGCAAGAAACACAATTCAACTCCCCAGATGACAAATGTTGAATGATGACGCGGAATTCCCTAGGCACGGGAATGAACATGTGCAATGCACACATGCCCCTGCGATTCCAATTTTTGGAGAATACATTGTTGCCTCGCGTGGAGCACGTTCCGAGCAGGTTGTGGCTGACTATGCTCCTGGGAGGCCCCGGGTGTATTTGGACATCGCCATTGACGGAGTGGCCGTGGGGCGGATTGTACCTTGTCTAGTGATAGGGCCCTTTGGGGTCGACCGGATTTTCTCTTCGGTCCTCGTCCACCCCTTCCCGGACACGAAAAACCTCAACATAAAACCGTTCAAGGTTGTTTCTTTGTTTTCGCGGTTCAAAAGTACAGGGGGGGGGGGGCGCAGTTTAGACTTAGAATTATGCTTCACTGTGTACATATAAATTAGTAAAGGTAAGCCATGCATTTAGAATTTGGTATTGGGTTGGTGCAAGGAGCCCCAAGGCCGGGGCCGGTCTGGGCGGAGACATCGGACAGTTTTGGTTTTGAATTGGGCTATTCTAAAATTAGTATTGGGGAATCTGGCTGTTTCAGCCAGTCTGGAAAAAATGTATTTATAAATAGGGTCCATTTATTGAAAGGGGGAACGGATTTGGCCTGTTCGTATCCACTCCTTGTTTGGAAACGTGATGCAATGACTTTCACAGCCGGCTTGTCCCCAGAGTCAGAAGTACCAAGCCAACCCTTGATGGAATGCTCTCAACATTGGGAGTCCCCCTTTTGCGGAGGGTTCAGAAAAGTTCAACATTTTGCAGGGGTGCCGAGGGCCCTAGTGTTTTGGCCTCCCAAGCTCCCGAGGTTTGCGAGCTGTTCAACGACGCCGTGCCAAAGACTGCGGAGAACTTTCGCTTGCTTTGCACCGGCTCACGCGGCATAGGCAAGCGAGGCAGGAGTGGGCTACTCGGAGGTGGCAGCCCTGATATCCGTGCAGCTCACCATGCTCTGACAGGTTGTAATTGAGGAGGCTTTCTTCAGTTGTAATTGACCTGGGCGCTGAAAATCTTGAAGCGAGGGATGTCTGCGTCACCTGTTGTTTTTCCCCAGCCTGCATGTCAGCCCCAGGCGAGATTTGAAGTGACCTGGTGACCTAGTGCCACCTGGGCTTTTGTTTTTATTCGAAGCTTAGGGTTTTCGAATGGGGTGCTCGACCGGAGCAGGGCTTGCAGTTTCCTTATGGTCAGGCAAGCCATTGCACTACAAAGGTACCGGCCTCGGATTGGGTTTTGGCCCGCTGTGCGGAAGGGCTTGAGAGGCTGCTTGGCCCGGCAACCCCCTATGCCCAAGAGGGCGGCAATCCGTACTTTCGAGCACCACTTTGGAGCACAGGCCCTTCCCGGAGTGTTACATCCGAATCATCACGATGAGGGTTTGGATCCCTTGGTCTTGGTGGATTGTTCAGGGTCCCAAGTCTACATCTCACAAAAAGTCACTAGTGCCAGCAGATTTGGACATTCCATTTCCTTGTGGAGGTGGTTTTGGGATGTATCCCTCCTCCGGACCCTTGCTGGGTGTTTCCCCGAGGTGTGAAGTTCCACCGGGTAGTGCCCAACTTTGTCATCCAGGCTGGGGACTTCACCCATTGCCGCTCGGCACTGGAAGAATTTCGGAAGGCCAGGAGCTGGCGAGATGTTTGTCGCAGCCTGTATGTTTTGCCAAAAGCGCAAACTTTTTTTTTGGATCCCGGAATGACCGCCATCCATGTGAAATTGTGCGCAAAAAAGGCACTGCTAGAAAAAGGAGCAAAATGCCCCAGGTCAGAAAGGGTGTCTGAGACGCCGCGAAGTCACCCAACAAGTTGTGGCCAGAGACGGCTTCGAATGCACCCTGCTGCAGTGGTCTTTCATAGCAAGGGCTGTTGATGGTGTGCCAAGGTGATGGGACAGGCGGTGAGTCAGTATATGGCCCGACTTTCCCGGATGAGAATCTGACCCTTCGACCGCAAGAGAGTGCAGAAGGCTTGATGCCAGGATGCGACATGGTCAAAACACCTGAGCCACAATCGAAACTTGGGTAAGTGAAGGCTAGTAAGGGACAATCCGAACCATAACCAGGTTTGGACGCCCACGGGCCCTAAGGCTGAGGACGCTGGTAGCTCGCAAGCATTGCTAAGCGAATCACTGCTGTCCATCAAGGTTTTTGTTGATCACCTTTGGGCAGGCATTCGCACAGCTTGAAACCAGCCACCCCCTTCCGACCTCAACAGTGGTAAGGCATTTTGGCTCTGACTGAGGCCGTGGGCGTCGGTTTGTGCGAACAGTTCTTGAACTTGGTGTCCAGGGCTTTGACATTTAGAGCTTCTTGGAAAGGATGGAGGCAAATTTAAAAAAATAGGTTGTGAACCTGAGATGATTGGCAACGCTTGCCAGACCTTATGACGTGCACCATGAATCTTGTCTACCAAGCGTAAGTGTAGCTTGCAACGTGCGTGGATGACAAAGTGATTGGAAGGTTTAGGGTTTGGGGTGGGCGCTAGTGGTCGCAGAGCCAGGGTGTGGGTTCATACAGTTGGGTGACAGTTTCGGCATCATCCCATTTGCTTGCCCACATAAAGGGAATTGTGCCATCTACTTTCGCCCTGGTGGTTAAAGCAACTCAGGAACCTGAAGCACACCGCGCCTGGCATCTTGAGCATGGCCAACAGCGGCAAGGACTTGGCACGTTCATTGCATAGAGGGCAACGCAATTCCCCCCCCCCGCCCTTTTCCAACAGTGGAAGGGGCCAGGTGGTTTGGGAAAAGGTCCTATTCTCGAAACGGATTCTAAACATTCGATGTCTCCGCGGAGGCCGGGGGTAAAGAATTTTGAACAAACCTCATATGCGTCCATCTAGATCTCACCCTCCTCCAGCTTTTGAATCACAGGACACAAACTCTTCGCAGTTCTTCATTTGCATGAAGGCGCGAAGCCTGGAGCGCTAGCCTGGCCGAGGCCGTAGCCAAGCCGACGGATCCATCCGAGAACACCCTTCTTTCAAGGGGAAGGGCTTCTTCGAAGGGTATGATAAAAAAATCAGACGGAGAACTCACATGAAGCCGAGACCGCACCCAAGTGAGTGGTGGGCAGCGAAATCATGTTTTAGGTGGCGTTTTCGCAGATACCTTGGGTTCTTTCTTGTTTTGGCGGGGCATTCTTCATCCCTCCTTCGCTCGGCCCGACTGTATGCTTGCCATCTCTTTCGGGGGGTCAGTAGTTCTTTCATAAGTCCAATCCGGACATACCACCAAAAATTGAGCGGGGAAGAAACTGCCCATTGATAGCTTCCTACCTTGGCGAGTGCGTTAAATGCCTCTCCTAAACATTTTTGGCTTGGATGGGGTTTTGACAAGACACCATCGCCTGAAAACCGGAAACCAAGCACCTCGAAGCCAACCACCTGGACAGCAAGCCACCGGCACGAGGCCTGCCCCCATCTGGACGGCAAGCACTGCGTCTTCGGCCGCGTCATTGATGGGATGGAGGTGGCCAGGCGTGGCACATGAGTTTGGCCCGCCAATCAGTGAGGAGGAGGAGGACAATTGGGACATCTTGGGTGTGTTTTTCTGTTTGGAGTTGGTACCTTTTTTGGAGTTGGCACCCTGTTCGGCCTTGTTTTGAAAGGAAGCTCAAAGGAAACCACGTGTTCTTGGGGCTCGCCTATTGTGAGACACATCCATGTCTGCACAGGGTTGCTCCTTTCGTCGCCGCATGGGATGGTGGTGGGGGGCGGGGGACGGTACCAGGCTGATCAGGCCCTTGATTTTTTGCCAAGCACGTTGGTGGGGGACATAGGTGGCTTCTTGTCTTCGAGCACTTTGCACGGGAACACATCCGTGCCAAATCATGCTGTCACACTCATTGGTGACCAGCTCATTGTTGCAAGGATAGTGTTTCAGATGCTGCGGTTTGTCGGGCAACTCCCAGCAGCAGTTGCCAACTCACAGTCGTTAGTCGGTTCACCTTTCTATGAGTCACATTTATCAGCATGCTGCAACTTGGTTTCGGGTCGCTTGACGAGTCCAGCTGAAGGCCCATGGCTCGGACTGGCGCAGGCGCGTTGAGAGCTGTGGTCCGAGTGCCGGTACTGCAGTCATCGACGACTGTGGCGCCCCTTGGCCGAGCACCGGGATCGCGGCAAACCTTTGGCAGGGGTTGCAGCCCCCCCAGAAGCCGCCGAAAGTCATTCCTTTTGTCCAAGATCACCTTTTACGCGTACAAGTGCTGAGAATATAGAGAGATTTACGTCCAAGTGGCTACCCCGGCATTCCGCGTGCCCGGCGGCCTGTGCTTATTCTCTCATCGCTTTGAGCTGGACCTGCGGGTCTATCAAGGCCCTAGGGCAAAGGGTGGTTCTGATCGAAGGCTTCTTGGAATCAGGCTGCGGTAGGTCCGGAGCCTATCCTCTCTGGGAAAAGAGGCCCCCAAGGAGTATCCCTGCCCCGGAGCCTCCGAGCCCTTGAGAACCCAGCCCACCCGGCTGAAACTCCGTAGCTGTCGCGGGGGAAACCGAAATCCGCTGGGGGCGCCTTGCGTGGCACTTGTGGGAACCACCCTTCTTTGAGCTGCAGCACATGCCAGGTGTGTCGAACTATCGCAGTCATAGCATGAGCAGAACCTGGCAGTAGGCACGAGGGGCCGCCCTTGAACCCAGCCCACCGGCTTTTGCTCCTGGCACTCGAGCCTCTCTTAGGGCCTTCAAAACCAGTGAGCCATCCCAAATTCTCACTTGCCCCAAGCCCAAATCCACGACAATGCGCCCACGCCTAGGAAATCAAAGGCTCTGCCGCTGCTGCGATCAGCGAGGACGGGAAGTCAATTGTCAGAAACTGGAAGCAAGCTAGTGGATCCAGTTGCCAAGTGATATTTGTTTTCCCCCACAACACACGAGGATACTCTCTAGGCTTATTGTGTTTGGGGGTGTTTGTTGTCGGGGGAGAGAGAGAGAGAGAGAGAGAGAGAGAGAGAGAGAGAGAGAGAGAGACAGAAAAAGAGAGAGAGAGAGAGAGAGAGAGAGAGAAAGAGACGTTTTCCAGTTCCGTTCCTACATCATGAAGCCGGGGCGCTTCAAAGTGCATCTCACAAGCGCAGGGTCCTTCAAATGGAGAGGTGAAGTGATGCTGGACTGGCAAACGTGGCTTCGGCTTGAACACCTTTTTGCCCTTTACCTTGGGACGCGAGACTTACGAGATGTGTCACGAGCAAAAACTGCCCATGCGAATCCTCAAAACGGGTGGTTTCCATTGGGTTTCCCTTTTCAATTACCCTGGGCGCCCGCATGCACTGAGATCAACAGATTGTCAGGTTGCGCTTAGTTGGCGGCTTGGATTGGTGGTAGGATTGAACGCCTTCTCTTGAACTCAAGTGGGACGTCCCCTAACCTTCCACCAATCCAAACCTGAGGCCATACTTGAGGCAATTGCCTGGGCCACTAGAGTCTTCCACAAGCCAAATCAGAAGCTGTCTGAGTTCGAGCTTCCGAGTTTTTCCCCGGCCGAAAGCTGCGAGGACTTGGCCGGCCCTGGCTTAGGTGACCGCCCGGCCAAACGACGCCGGGCTGATGCAGCTGAGGCTGGGGCTCCAGGGGCCGTTTGGTAAACGGCTGAGGCTGTTGAGTCTTTCCGATTGAGTGGGTGAAGTTTGGTCTACTTAGTCTACTTAGTCTACTTAGTCTACTGGGTTTTGCAGAAGGTTTAAAGGCTTGATTTAGGGTTTGGGGTTCGATGGTTCTAGCTTTGTTTCTTTAGCTTGCTTTCTTGCTTGCTTGCTTGCTTGCTTGCTTGTTTGCTTGCTAGCTTGCTTGCTTGTTTGTTTGTTTGTTTGTCTGTTTGGTCTTCTGTCCGCTTGGCTTGGCTTGGTTTGCTTGCCTAATTGTTTGTTACTTGTTGAAGTGAATTTGTTGCCAACTTGGGTTCTGCGCAGCCGCTGCACAGCATGAGCGCCGCAACTCCACCGAACGACTTATTCTATCGTGCCCCTGCATGCAGCACGGAAGGTTTAGCTTCGGAATAGTTTTTGGGCCCATGCTGCACTTTGTTTGCGATTCGTCGATGAGCAGTGTTGCCTTTTCATCTTCGGCATTGATTTTCCAAGTTTCCCAGCGCGCCACTCCACCAATGCACTAACTTGTCCAGTCGAAAGTCATTCGCTTGCATTGCTCGACGCGAGGTGCAGGTGATGCACATCATCAAGAAGCACAGCGGCTGCCCAGATCCCACGGATGCCCAGGGCAAGCCTGTGAAGGCGACGAGAGAAAACTCATGTTCCACGGCGAATTGCAGCAACTTGTGGTTTTTGATCCAGATGGCCTGGCGGCTCCAGAATTTGAGATTGTGGGGGGGGTAGCCGATTGCAAGTCAAAAGCTCTCCTGCATGGTGTCCAGGTCGCTTAGCCGAAGTCGGCTTCCGCTTAGCTCGGCCTTCCCCGCCGGTGTTTGTTGTTTCACACTTGGACTCTCCACCGGCTCCTTCAGGCTACTGCACCCCTAGCTGAAACGGGCCTGTAAGGTCTGGTGGGAGTTCCAGGAACGCATTGGCCACTGAGTTCAGCGCCTTTCGGGTACGAAGAGTTGTCATTATTCTGACCCCCTGTGTTTGGCGCGTGGGAGAGCCATGCGCGAGGATTGTGGTTTTGCTGTCCCACTTCTCAGATTCTCAACCCCAGCACGCGCAAATCATCTTGCTTGCGTGGGCTTTTTGGGCCGCGAGGTGACGAAAGGGCGCGCGAAGCTGTCCCTGGCCAACATCAGGAAGAAGCCACTGGGCCGCCAAGTGGGTGCTGACTTGTCAAGGGGGCATGCCATGCCGTTTCAGATTCCCTGAAACGGACAAGGGGGACGTCGTTGTTCAGCATGGCCCCGTTCAAGCTGACACACCGCCAGAGCTTCTGGTATCTACGGTACCCGGGAAGGCCTGGTCTGGCCTTGGTCCCTTAAAGTTGGGGCTCAGAGGTGTTGCTAGGCCCCAGTGGCCCGCTCTGGGATGGACAGGGATGACAAGCTTGCGCCCGCACAACGGAATGGCACGTGGCAGCCCAGCCCGGACAAACAAGCATGTCGGGCGGTGTGTAACGGCCAGAGCTGGGAAACCAATCCAGACTGTCTGCATTAGGATGGTGCAAAGCCAGCGTCGGCACTTCTGGCAAATGGTGCCGGCTTTTGGTTCGTCCCCTCTCAAGTGTCTCATGCCGTTTTTGAACCGTGTAGCAACACCTCCCTCGTGTCCGAGAGGGAACAGGCAAGGTGGATCTTGGACTTTTTATCTTAGATCAACATTGACTACCGTTTTCTAGAGGGGACACCCAAACGGACCCTATGAGAGAGCTACCGTTGCACTTTCGGTTTTTGGTTGGTCAGACGCCTCCCCGAACCCGGAAATCTATGGCGACTCTGTTTCGAACAGAACCCCCGCGGTTTTATTTTTATGCTTTAGGGAAAGACAAATTTAACAACATTTCTCTGCAAGATGGGGTGTTCTGTTCTTTTTTTCTGGACGCCAAAAGAAGAGCCGACTGAGGCTGGCCATGAGCCCGGACCTGCCGGCGCTGCAGCGGGCCTTCGCGAGCTGCGCCAGGTGCTTCCTCTGGGTGGGGGGGAAGCTGGGGAGCTGGGGATTCGGCCGAATGAGGAGGGGGGGCTTAGGATTTAGGGTCCAGGTGTTTTTGGGCTTGGGGTTGGGGGCCTTTGGGGTTTAGGATGTTTAGGGAAGTTTAGGGTTTGGGCTGGGTTCGGTCATTGGGGTGGGCTTGGGGTGGGTTTAGGGTTTGGGGTGCGCGCCCGTTTTTTTTTCTTCCTGCCCAGTGGTTTGGAAACTTGGGATTGTCAGGGGTAGTGGCCATGCTGGTGTCGCTGTCATTTGACACGCGAGGACCAGCCTATGTGTGCGCAATGTTTCGGGGTAGGCCTTAGTTATATGGGGGGTGGGATGGCGGTGAAAAGCTGGCTTGCTGGGTCTTCCGCTCGCAGAATCCGAGCAATAAAAGAACATGGGCAAGTATCGGTTTGCTGCACTTTCCCTTTAAGCTGTACCCGGTACGCCACAACAGCAAGGGGAATACCTCATGGAACCACTGCCAGCCACTAGCTCTAAAATTAGCTCCCGTGAGTGGGAAGGGGTTGGCCTTCGCCCTCCGGGGCACGATTCTCTGAGCCTCTCGCGGACTTAGGGAGCAGTCCGACGACCCCAAGGCTGAGACTACCAACGGGGAGCTGCGCCTCCAGCCCGGAGACAGGCCCGAGCTCGAGGACGGGGTCCACTTCCCGCGTGCGGGAAGCTTTGCATCCGCGCTTGCGTGTGGTGCTGGTAATTCGGGGTTGAAGGCTCCCCCTGCCGCCTGCTTGCTCTTGAGCAGATGGAACCTCTTTGGTGTGCGGAAGGCGTCAAACTGGGGATCTTTGAACCCCAATTTTTGGTGGTTGTCCTTTAGTTTTTTCGCTAAACCCAGGTGAAAGGGGGGTGCCGAGCCTCAAAAAGCACAAAAAAGCAACGGGGCTGTGAGGAGATGGGCTTCTCGCTGGCGGTGGGGGAGATCTCCGAGCCCTTCGAAAGCCCGGAGGGCTGCCACCTGCTGCTGCGCCTGGCGTGAGGCGAAGGCGCCCTGGCAAGCGCTGGGAGGTGAAGCAGCCAGGCCTTTGAACTCGATGTGTATGTCTCATTGGGGTCTGGGCGTGCTTGAGCCCCTGCACTGGAGTTGTTTTTTGTGTTTTTTTTTTGAAGGGGTTGGACTGTGTGCAGTGGAATGCGATGATATGAGCAGGCGGCGTAGGTAAAAGACGGACAGAATGCGATCATAGGTCAAGTTCATTCAGACAGACCTTTGGTTGAGTGTGAGCGGGCGGCCGCGCCTGCCAAGGGCCAACGTAAAGGAGACGCCTCAGCCTATCGCAGTTGATACTGCAAGGGCAGGGACGCTGGGGGGCCAAGCAGAGCCCATGAGCGGCCAGTGAACGTTTGCTGGGCGAGCGAGCGCTGGCCGTCAGGCAGTGAGCAGTGGAGTGGAAAAAGGAGCTGCTTGGATGGGGCCAGCGTTGATTTCTGTTCTATTTTGCCGTCGGTGTGCAGGGTTCTGATTCGGGGCGGTTTGTCGACGCTAGGCCCACCCCCCACCGTCAGCCGCAGCTCACCGATTTGGATGCCACATGGGTTTGTGATGCGTTCCCTCCCTTGCAATCTCGGCAAGATTTACACTGTGCAGGCTTGCGTTGGTTTGGAAGACAGGTATGGTGTGGAGCATGCTTTTCGGCAAGCACAAGCCCAATCGGCCGAGCTTTGGGTGACATGGCTGGGCGCTTGTTTGCCTAGTTTGTGCCGTCACGAATTAGAGCCATGCAGCCTTTGAGATGACATCGGGCCAGGGCCGTGTGGGGCGCTTCATGGGCGAGCTGGGAAGGACCATCGCCTGCCTCCTCCGTGGTCAGGTGATGGGATTTTTGGCGGGTGGTTTCTGACTGCTTTCTTGAAAAGTTGGCAGAATGGCTAGCAAGCTGCCTATTTCCAGAGCAGCTGGAAAAACACACACTCCTGTGTGGTTGATGGAGGGGACTGGGCTGTTGCAGTCCCTGATTGTTTCGAACGCGCTGCGCGGCGAGGACTTTCGGGTGCTGGGATGACGTGCTAGAGCACAAGGCCACTTCGCCGTTATGCGCAGAAGGGTTCCCGTTTAAAGGTTGCGGGTCTGGGGGTTAGGAGGTGGCCAAAATTGTTGCTTTAACGCCCTTCGTGTTCCTCGTAAAGCGCTTGTTTTTATGGCTCCTGTGCGTAAATTGGAACATTTAGACAGGTTGGCGCGTCGTTTTCAGAAGTTTCTCTTCGTGCGTGGTGGTGTTCCATTTTTTGTTTGTGTTCCAGGGATGCCTGTTTTGAGGTGTTTGGCTTGCATTGCCTTGGCAAGCGCTTCTTGCCCGAGCATCATTCTCACCGCCAATTTGGAACAATTGGCCTTTTTCAGCCACTGAGCAGAAGCAGAAGTCAAACAACACAGAAACTCCCAGGACACTCGGTGCTGCTTCTGGAAGCTTGCCTCTTTTTCTCAGCTGTAAAGCTGGTAGGCTTCTGAAAGACACGTACTCCCTAAATCTGTTTGGGACATGATGTTTGTAGACAGTTGCCAGGTTCAGAGCACGATCACTCGGGAAGGGGAGCTGCTCCTGTTCTCGCAGTTTGCGGCACTTGCAGTCTGGCGCCAGAGGTTTTTGCAGGTCAGCCGTGGCAACATAGTCGCCGAAGCAAGGTTGGCTACGAAGTGGTCCGAGGGATGTGGAGGTTTCACAATACGCAACTTTTGGGTATAGGGCTCAATTGGTGTTCCGTTGAGCTACCCCTGAGTCTCAGCTGGTGCAGGAGTCGGTGCTGGCAAGGCCTGAGGCACGGCCTGAGTTGGGCGGAGCAGTCGCTGGTGTCCCCCGAATGACTGCAGCGTGCCATTTGGGCCTCAAAGTCCCTATGGCCAGCAGATTGGCAGCACACTGATGCAGGCAGTGGTGTGGTTCAGCAAGTTCCGACAGCTTTTGCTTTATGGATTGCTTGCGCTCTATTGGATCTATAGTCTCTCTGATTTCTCTCTTTCTTTGTCTCCCCTTCCGTCTCTCCTTCCTTCTCCATGTTTGTCCCTCTATGTTTTTGCGAATTCTTTTTGTTTCTATGTTTCTCCCTGGGTTTCTTTCTATGCTCTATAATTCTCTGCGTGTTCTTCGCTATGTTTTTTCTTCTATTTTTTGGTTGGGCTCTGTATGGCGTTCTCTCTTCCTCTCCGACTGCTTGGAGTGGAGCTGTCGGAGCTGCCTGACAGGTCTGGCGCCCCAGCGCAGCACGAGAGGCTGCACCAAAGGAAACCCGGGGGGCATAGCCTTGGGATCTGCACTCATCGGCGCATGGTTTGTCCACTGACCTTTTGCCTGGAACAACTTTACAAAGAGAGAACGCATCAAGCCTCTTGCTCACGCACCCGCTGTACTTTCCCGTGGATCTCTTGCACTCAGAAAGTTGTTGCCCTTGTCTTCCTGCGGTGGTCGAAGCACATGGGGCGGGAGTCGTCATCAAAAGACCCCATGGCATGTCCCAAGGGCTCGAAGGGGCGCCGGCTCTCAAGTCGCGGAACGCGCAGGAGTGCAACGCAGCCGGCCCGGACAGCCCAGATGTCCCAGGTTCCGGGGCTGTTGGATATCGATACCACCAGGGCCTGAGTTCTTTTTTTTCGCCCAATCAGTGGAGAAAGGCTCGCGCAGGCTGGAGGCAGATGCTTGGGTACATGGAGGCGTCATGCTGGTGAATCCCGGCATGCTGTCATGAAGGATTCTGCTAGATATGCTGAGGCACTTTGTGGCCTCTTTTTTTTTTTTTTTGGCGTGCTGCTTTATGGGAAGGTGCTAGTGGGGGTCGGATTTGAACCAATTGCTGAGTGAAAAGCTGCAGGCAGCCCACTGAGACTACATGAGAGAGGTAGAAAGAGTCGCGACATGATAGCTACTTGATCTGCATCGCTGCATGTTAGTTCGCCAGCCACGGGCAGGCTACGAGCAGGCTCTTGCGTTGAGGCTCATTTTGTGAGCCTGTCCATTTCTGGGCGGCTGTCGCTCATGTCAGCCAATCTCCTCGTTCTGTTTGTTCATTTTTTCTGGAGCTGCCAAAGTGAACTTTGTGTCTCCTGCTTGTGCTGACAATTTGGATTTGCGCTTTAGCTGCCAAACTGCATTTGGCATGCTGCACTTGCGCATGCAACATAAAATAGGGGGTGATGGTGTTATTGTGATGCACATGTACTTAAAAGTTGCGACTGTTCACCCTGAGTCCCACCAACCTAAAACAGCAAACGAGCAATGATAGGCTTCCCTGTCCTTCAGCAATTTTCAGAGTCGCGCTTGTGTTCCTAGGCAAAGCCTTCGTGTAGGCTCATAGGTGACTCCGGAGTCAGCGCAGCCCAACCTTTGTAGGTGCCAGAGGGAGCTGATGACTACAATGTAAATTGAACACAAGGTGAGTCGCAGATTGAGGCAAACAGGAGCAGGTATTCAGAAGGCACACGTGGAAGCAGTTGGGAAACGGGCAAATGACACAACGTGCAAAAGGCAACCGGCAATTACGAGAGGCAGGAAAGGAGCAACACCAACGTGGATAAAAGCACGTGCACGCAACAACAAGCAACATCCCAGCACCAGCAATAGGTCGAGTTGCAGAAATGCATATTTCGCCTTCGTTTGCATCCCTTTCATTTTGCAAGTACGGTTTCCTGTTTTGAAGCCTGTTGGGCTTCGAGTTTTTTTTGCAGGTGTTTTGCAGATGACTTCTGATGATTCGAGTGTTGACACGTGTTCCATTTGTTTGTGCAACTGCTCCGGGCCATCTGCGTAAAACCAACCATCAACATGAACAAAACAAAGATGTCACAAAAACTCCCAGCCATCAAGCAGTGGTGGGCGTGCGGGTCTGAGTCCCTAAAGTGGCATCTCGCGACGGCACGAGATCAGCTATGGGGGAAAGATGCTGCAGCTAAAGGTTTTGAACATGCTGGTCAACTGTTATGGATGAGGACAATTCTCCCCCCAAAAAAAGCTTCCTTGGAAGTGGCCCCAACCAGCTTGGGGTTCCAAGCTCGCCTCGATTTCCAGCCGCGTCTCTGGGCAAAGAGAAGCCGCGAGGCTGGCGCTCCGTGGTTCGGGGCCCAGAGGGGGGGCTTGCTGCCTTTGGAAGCCCATGTGGCTCGCGAGTTTTTGGCTTGGGGGATTATTTTTGTCCACCAACTTTTGAGGGGATTTTTCATAGAAATGAGGCCACATCTGGGGTGTTTCTCCACTGAAATCGGTTGAACTTGTCCCTAAACGTCCAAGAGGGGGTCAGCGTTTTTGAGAAGTCACCCTGGACATTGTTACAAGTTTGGAGGTATTTTGCCAAACTTGTGAAGATGGCAAAGAGATCCTGCGTGAGTAAGGGCAGGGTACACCCATACTTGTTGGGCCTAACCTAACCCTGTCCAACTCAAGTGCCGCTTCTCATCGGAGGGAATGCGGCATGCATGGGGAGTTCGCAATCTCCGGCTCGGTGCCCAGAACGCGTCCGCTGCCTACATGGAGAGACTCGCCTGCAAGGTGTCAATTTCGCAAAGCAATATGGCTTTTTTCCCTCTTTGCGTGGGGCCACATGTGAGACTCTCCAACGAACATGAATGGGAGTCTGATGGGTTGGGGCTTGGCCGGGTCCATTGGTATGCACAGCCCGCCCCCCAGCCAGGCTTTTGCTTGGCCCTTGGATCTCGGGCCGCTAGTCTTGCCATTCTGCCGGTCGACGCAGAATTCAGGCAGCGCAGTGAGCGCTTGCAACTCGGCTCACGCTAGCTGCTTTTCCGGTTTTCCGTATTTCTGATGTGCGGATGCTTCAAAGAAGCCCGTTGCGGAGATGTAGCTGGTAGAGCAAAGGGAGGCGAAAAGGATCTGCAATTGTTTATTTAATCAACGCATTCGTCTGCTTGCAGCCTGAATGCCTCACAGTGGGAAGCAACCCTTCTCTTCTACTGCATGTTTGAGTAGGTTGCTGATTGGGCAAAGGCAATGTAGCTGTGCATTTTGTTGATGGCCATGTTCGATCAATAGGAACATCATGCTGCATGGAATTCGGTACTGTCACTTTGCCGGACTGCGACCAGTGCTTCAAATATCAGGTTGCCATGCCAAGTTTTGTAGCCAGTGATTCTCAAACCTCAGGAGGTGGACTCCACAAGAAAAGCTGCATTGGATCTGAATGTCTATAGAACATGCTTTCTACGTCTGCTGCCCACGTTAAAAAATGCAGTGCCCGCTAGTCCTCAATGGGACCCAACCAAAGCATCAGGCTTGGCTTTCCCTTATTGTTTAAACTTGGGGACAATAGGCTTCGGCAGTGCGGGGAACTGCCTTGGATTGAACTGGAGCCAAATTCTAAAACATTGTAAAAAATCTAGAACCCATGCACCCAGCCTTTCACAGATGTGCACTGCGTATCAGCTGAGCTCCCAATCAAATTGCGCTTCGAAGCATCGCCGCCTCGGGTTCGTTCATGGATGGCACAGCGATCGGTGTGCCATGCAGGCCGGAGCGAGAGCACAGAGCCACGGAGCAACGTGAGTTTATGGAGTTGTCTTGAAGCTCCGAGGATGGGCTGTGGTGGGAACTCCTTGGCCGGTTGAACTCGCTAGCAAACCAGGCCGTGCTTTGACCCGAGCATGGTTCCAACTGCCCGGTCTTTCTTCTTTTCAAAGGCGCCGGCACCTCGAAGCCAAAGGACAGGAACGACACCCCTCACACAAAGACCTGAGCTTTTTGGAGATGTGGCCTGTTACTACTGCAATCCTGCGGCGCTTTGACAGGGTTTGTGTGTCCCCTTGCGCACCCTGTTCAGCATCCACAAGAGCACGCCACCCCGCCTGGTCTCATGCGCCATAGACATTGAACTTAGCATGGGGGCTAGCTGGTACAGCAGGCAGGCTGACCAGGATGAGGTGTTGCGGGGCTTCATCCAGCAACTGCATCCGCGTAGATTGCTGATGTGATGCAATCTGCCAAGCTGTGTCCGAATCAGCGTCCTGTTCCGACCGGCGCAGATCGCGCGGTGGCCGCCGCGATCTCCTCTGCGCAGGGTGGAGGTCTGCCAGTCGCCCGTTTCGCCGTGCAGAGCCTTGAATGCTCCAAGTTTGGATCCTTTGCCTAGACAGGCTATTGCTGGTACCAGGTTTGGAGACACTAAAGGTCATGCGCTCTTCAAACGACAGCCGTCTTGATCGTCACGCCACTGAACATGCGGTCGTATATGCAGCTGTTGCTCTGCGAAACGGGTACATGTTGATATCATATCCTTGCACTTTGCTTGACTGTGTCATACGTTTCGCCGGGGCTCTGGCCCAAAGTCGTGAGGGTTGCAGGATGTGCAAGTGGCTGCGTTAGGGTTGGTGAATGGGGCCAATTGGCTTTCTTGGTTCATAAGCGGGGTGGCGTTGCGAAGGCTTTTCTGGCACCTACCAGTGAAGAAGCTAGCAAAACAAGGTCTCCCAATTCGCCAGGTTCAATGCCAGTGCGCTCGTTCATCAGCCCCAAGCTTGTTTGTGAACCTGAGGGCTTGGCGAGGTGCGTGACCTGTATCCCTGTAACCTTTCATTTTGTTTTTGGATCGAGGCTTCTTCCCCCACCAGCCATGCTTTGCTCCACATAGCAGGAGGCCAATGAGTCGGCTGAAGCAGGGCCAGCGGCTCAGACGAGAGGGGAGGGCACAGGCACAGGCAGAGGGCCGACATGAGAGTCGAGGGGGTTTGTCTCCGGTGAGGAATGGACGGACCTCCAAAAATGTGGGTGGTTTCCTTTTGCTTCCCTTCAAAATCAACCGACAGGGTTGGAGTTTCGCCCAGAAAAAGCACACCCATTTAATTTCACCCTCGTCCGTGAAGGCAAGCACATTTCTCAATGATGAGCCACTTTTCAAAGCATGGCAAACTCCTGTGCTCACGTTCATGGCACCCCGAAGCGCAGCGTGAATGTGACAAAAGCAATGCCTGGCTCACATGTCATGACTGCTGGGTAAGACTGGGGCATTCAAAAGAAACGGGCACGAAACCCCACTTCATTCGGGCCTCAAGGCGCAGAGGAATGGCACGTCTTCAAAGTAACCTTGCTTGTGGGCGGCACGGGCTCCATAGAAATCTAAGCAACGCCTTGCCCGTTTTGAAAGTTCAATCTCATCACGAAAGCTAGCTTTAGCTAGCTGAAGTTTCTCCTTGCGTAAGCAAGGTAAGGGGCTCAAATGCCGAAAGATTGATTTTTTCAATTATTTGAGCCGAAAAGATTGAAAAACATCAATTATTTAGACCCCCCCCCCCTCCCCCCCCCCCCGGTCTCAGGCTCGATTCCTCCCTGGTCCATCCCCCCCCCCCCGGGCAGTGGCTCAGTGTTCAGCAGTCTCGGTTTGCCCGTTTTGGACTTGGTGCTACGAACTTTTACATGTTCCACCGATTCAGCTTGTTCATTTGAGACCTCAGTCTTCTCGGTAAACCACCTCGCAAGAATCTTTGCACACGCAGCATGCAGAACCCAGAGGTGCTTTAAGACAGCTTCTGACGCCTCTCGTTGTTTTCATTTTTCAAGGTTTGCCACGCCACCATGTGCGTTTGCGTGTCGCATCCTACGAATCTTGCCGGGCCTCTCGTTGTACACAAGCTACCTATGAATCCACTCTTTCACCGACCCATCTCATGCAACAACTGCTAGCTTTCGTTCACCCGCTCCTCAAGTTGGAGGGTTCTCCTAGAAATAGTTGGATATTTCTTGGCTGGTTTCCGGCCAGCGCCCAGTTCGCCCCCCTCGCCATCCTATGCCCCAGGCGGGGCGAGACCAGATGGTTTTCCTTTTGCAGAGGGGCACGCCTCGCGGCTCGCATGTTTGTCGTGATGGATCTCTGAGCCCGGGCGGCACATGAGACTGTTTTCCAATTGTTTGACCTATGTCTTTGGCCTCGTGATGCTCGTGTTGCCTCGGAAGTACGCTGACATGTTCAGGGATCTTGTTGGCAAGTGCAGCACTGTTTCGGGCTTCTAGACCTGGAAGGCACTTTCATCATCCAGTTGGCAGTTGTTGATTGGTTGCTTGGGCTGTTTTTTTTTGGTCCATGAGGGATGCTCAGGCCCAAGCTCGTGCGAGTTGGGCCCGTCCTCTCCCTGATCCTGCCTTTGGCATCCCATTGTTGGCCAATTGAGCCGCTGCTCGTTGTGCGAGTTTTTGCACTGGGACACGCCATCTGAGCTTGCATATCAGCCCATCCCCACCTCCTCAAAGGCGGAGTTCGGCGACGGGGGACCTGGAATGCCATCTGCGGGTCTGCTTCTGCCTTTTTGGGAATAGGCACTAACTCGTCTTTGACTCCGCGTCGTTTCACTGTCTTGGATGCGCATGCCTCCTTACTGTTTCCTTGCAATGAGAACCACGCCGTGCCATGTGGTCGTTGTTCAAGAATGATTTTGTGCTGGCTCAAGTTGAACTTGTTCAGCAGCCTTTGGCAGCACATATGCCCGCACTTGGCTCCATGCAACGTGATCCACATTTCCTCTGGTTTCGTGTATTTCTCCCACTTCCATCTGGGTGTTGGTCACTACTAAGCCACCAAGGGACCGCAGATTTTAGTCCATGTCTCCATTTACCAGGGTTACTTCCATTTGGCCATGGTTCAACACCAATGGTACGATTTTGGGGTCGGTGCACCACCCATTTTAGTCTATCTTAGTGGGGATTGAGATGTTCACTGGGGGCCAACCGAGGCGGCCATCTGTTCCTAGCCCGGCTGTTCGTCTCCTCCCCTGACACTGACCATCAGGCCGCCGGCTGCGGCAGCAGCTGGCGCAGTCCCCCAACCCGAGCCTGCAGGTGCCGCAGGGGTTTCATTTTCCGGGGTTACTTCATTATGTGAATCATGTGGGATCAAAAAGCGGCAAGAACCAAGGTTTGGCCAACTGTTCTCTTGCCAACTCACCTCCGTTCAATCACGGCTAGTCCAGTGCCTGCGCCCTTTCAACTATTGCCTGGCCAAATCCAGACAGTTGTTCCGAAGCAGGCGCTTGGGGTGGCAGGGGCTGACCAGGGCTCCCAAGCTCGCCAACAAGCGTCGCCAGGAGCAGCTGAAGCAGCGGGAGGAGGAGATCTTGGAGCTGCGACAGGTGATCGCCATGAAGGACTTTGCGGGGCTCGGTGACCCCGAATGGTTCGTGGTGAGTGGGGGGGGACCAGAGTCCTGTAGGTTTGCCTGACTATAATAAGTTTTTTTTTTTGCCCTTGAAAAACCAACCGGAGAGGGTCCCTCACGAAACACTCCACCTTTCGCGTGTGTCATGGTCGTGAGCCCCTGAATGGGCAACTTAGACGACCATTGTACGCATGCGTGACAAGGTGCCAAGCACAGAACCACACACAAATGGTGAGCCAACTGTGTGAGGTAACTGTTCACTACAGTTAGCTCCTGCGGGCTGTGTACAGCCTGTCCGGAGTGACTCAGGCAGGACATCTGGTCCTGCCCAAGCAGCTCCATCCGTGGAGCCGAAGCATCGTGAATTTTGACCAGCTCAGGGCACATGTGACTTTCAAGTGGAGGGTTCCGCAAGAGACACGTTTGGCTTACGTCGGGAAGGCAGTGTGCCACAGAGATTTGATAGAGCTGTGCACAGCATGTGTGATTTTATCTTTGCAGCTGGGTCAATCACTCAATTGGCTCCGCCAGCGCGACCAGCGTCAGGCCAGCGGTCGTCGCTGGAATCTGAACAACTCCTCCGTCTTCCCTGGCAAGACGCCAAAACGCAAGCCCAGGGCGGAAGGAACAACACACACACTTGTTCTCGTTGCCATGCCCGTCCAGCGCGCCTTAAAAGCAAGCCCGAAGGCTTCTATGGAGTGCATGCTAAGCAGGGTGCTGGCCTGGTGTGGGAGGCATTGCCGCATTGCCGCGCCAGCCAAATTTTTGTCTCAGCTGCGCATGCCGGGAGGTGGCCCACTTGTGTTGCACTCAATCTTCGGCATTCGCATAGCTTTTGACGGATCCCGAGTGCTGAGAGAGTGAGCAGATGAGCCAGGCTTGGGCAGTTGCAGTGCATGCGTTTTTTTTGGCCGACTTATGCTGCGGAAGGTGGGTGATGTGTTGCCGGCGCCAGTCACGAGGTGTGGCTGCAGTGACGTGATGTGGTCAAAGGGCTGAGTGTCGGACACATCCTGTAGTCAGCGTTGCCATGTCTAACAATAGTGTTTGTTAATGACCTGGATGCGTGCTCAGTCTTCAGACTGGGCCACGCCAGATGTGTAGGTTTGCGTAGCCTTGGAGGCTGGGGGGCCACAGGGCCACTTGTGCCCCGTGCCTAAACGGTTCTGGGTGATTCAGTCTCTGGCCATGGCATGCTTGGTAAGGTGAGCGGAAACGTTGTCTGATTGTTCCTATTAGGGCTCATGGGTGCGATTTGTCAACACCCAAGTCGCCCAGGATTGGTGATGTTTTTTTTTTTTGGGGCATTTGGTAGGAAGTTTAGGGACGCTGAGGATGGGAAGTTGCAGCTGTTTTTCCATATTTTTTCACAGGTGCAGCAACGTTAGCCACGTTCCGTCCAGAACGTTCCTGCAAAGCGGTGCTGTAGGAAGGTTGTCCAAGCAGTAGTTGTTGCTGCTCTCATGTGATTAACCGCGTTTGCATTGATCCGCTGTGTTTGCCGTGCAGCCGGCCTTTTGTTGCAAATGCATATGCACTGCCTCGTTGTTTCAGCTACCTGTCGCCTTTGGGCCATCCAGTTTGCCACCGGCTCGATCTCGGAGCAGATCAAACTCTAAGGCCTCCATATGGGCATAGCTTGCATTTGTGCCTGTGCCTAAAATGGTGATGAGAACTGCAAAGCCCTTGAGGCTCCTTGGGTCTGGGTTCCCGCGTAACTTGCCAGGATGGCATCATCCGCTCCTTGGGCGAAAAGTTGGGCGCCGCCGAGGCCGGGTTTGGCAAGAGGACTTTGGATTTGGTGCCCCATGAACTTCCAGAAGCTCCGAAACAATGCTCCGCTGGCACTGCCGACTTTGGCTCGAATGGGAGGTGCAAGTTTTGCACGGTTTCTACCACAGATTCCCATGTTGCGGAAAGACAGGGCAGAAGTTCTTCAATGTTTGTTGTGTTGCCATGGGGGCTGTTGGAAAATCATGCAATGCAAGCCTTATTTCAGACCCGGCTTCGGCCAGGTGCTCAAACATCTCCTTACTGGGTTGATCATAACGAGCTCACCTCGGGGTAAAACAAACACATCCATTATAAAGTTCCTTTGCTGGGGGCTCCCCATTTCCTGTTTGGGGAATAGCAATTTGTGACATAGGCACCTAGGCACTTACCGGCAGGTGGCTGGGCAGGTCATCTCGATGAAGGACTGAAGAAGGGGGGGCAAGAGTGGGAAACTGTGAGAGTCGCCTTGCCTCCTACTTTCCTCGCCGCTGACAAATGTCAAGCAGCAACAGATGCCCGACAGTGGCAACAGACACGGGAGAATTAAAACCCAGTTGTACAGTGGCTTCTGCCAGAATTTGCGCGGGATGCCAAGAACTTGAGAATCCTTTAGTCCACCCTTTGAGACGGATGAGAACTTTTGGCGCAGGCCAGCTATCCAGAATTCGCGGAACACGATTCTTGCCCTAATTGATTATTCTCCAGTCTTGATGGAGAAGCCGCTAATAAGCCAGTTGAAATGCCTGCAAGGTCCCTTTCTTGTACTCCTGTTGGCTGTGATGTGCCAGACCTCGCGACCTCTGAGAGAAGGAGACAGCTTGCTAAACTTACTTCCGCTCTGCCGTGAACTTCTAGCGCAGGCTTTATTTGGTTTCTCGTCAGGCAATGCCGTGGCTTGGGTGCCGCATCGTGCGGGAGAGACTGGCATGGTGGTTAAGAGTTAAGAGGCACCCTCTTCCCCTTTTTGTTTGGCGGGTTCTCCTCTAAACAAGTTCAACCCAAAAAGTGCCGGCTTCTTTTCCTTCAGGGTCACCGGGGTAGGTGAGGGATGTTCTGAATGACAATGATGGCATGAGAGCCGTAAAAGTTAAAAGCAAATCGTTTAAGTGTTTCCTTGCTTACTGATTCTTACTGTTGCCATATGCGTTCAAGAAGCGGCTTCGAAGTTATGAGTGCTGGCTCGGGTGAAAACTGGTGCCAAAATATCACAAGTTTTCCGCAGTGGCGTTGTTTGGCCCGAAATGCTTGTTGGTACCCCATTTGCGCAGGCGAGTCCAGGGTGCACAAGATCGCACCTTGCGCAGCACATTGAAGTGAGGCTTGCTCACTGCCCGTTGCTCTCTTGAAGGAAGGACCTGTGTTTCAGAGAAGAGGCATCCTCACAAGAACTGTTGACCCTGTCGAAAACCAACAAAGAATATCAAATAACCCATGCACGATAGATTGAATGCTTCTCAGGCGTTCCTCTTATCTTATTTGGTGGGAAGCCTCTTGACTCATAAGCAAGCAGTTCATCAATCAACCGCAAAACAACACCAGTTCAGACCCAGGATGCATGCCGCCGCAGGACCAAGTGATCCGGCAGTCGAGCTGGCTGGTTTGCAATCTGCGCTGTCGTCTTCGCTGGGGCGCATCCAAAGCTGAGAGTCTGATTTAGAAGGTTGGAGGCACGGCCATGAACAGGTCCGACACTTAAACTTTGGGTGTGTTTTCGGACTCAAGCAGCTTTTGCACCACTGTGAGGGAGATGGTCGAAGGGGACAGGTGGGTGTATTTGTTTTCGAGGTTTGTGTAAAGGGAAATCAAAAAGGAAAGCAGCTTTTGAGGCGGAAGCAAAGGGGAAGCCGCCGGCCTACCCGATTGGAGACATCTCAGGACTCCTGCGGGGCATTGGCCGTGCGAAGTGCTCCCGCCAGGCTGCAAGCTGAGCTGGAAGATATCCGCGTGGCGCTGGAGCAAGGCATCCATCCGGGCGAAAGGAAGGGTTGCATGACGCAGACACCACTGGTGCCCTTTCTTTCGACTTTGTGGTGGGGCTTCCCTTTGAAATCTACCAATGGAAGAAGGGTGCTCTTTTTGTTTACTCCCCGCGAAAGCCAAAACGCAGGCCGCGAAAGCTTGCGAAAGCTTATCGCGGAAGTAACCAAAGAAAGTCCCGCCGCGAAAGACCCGCGAAAGCCTGCATGCTGTGTGACGCTCCGCCGTGAAAGCGTCGCGAAAGCAATTCGAAAGAAACCAAAGCCCGCGAAAGCAAAACATGGGGTCGCGAAAGCATCGCGAAAGGGTCCGCGAAAGCAAGTTTATAGGACCGCTTTTTACACAAGAGTATTTGGCACCGCTCAAATGGATCCCTGCTCGGAACTGCCTGGCCAAAGGTGGTCCTCAAATATAGTCATTGCTCTTTGTCAGAAAGACCGATAAAGGTGCCAGTCTTTGCTCACTGGGGCAGGAGCTTTGCAACTGTTGTGGACTCAACAAAAGGTCAAGAAATGGTTGAACCTTTGCTTTGGGTTTCGGGTCCAGCAGAAAGGTGATTTCTTGTTTTTTCATGTCAGCTCCCTTCTCTAGATTGGGATCGACTGACTTCGAGGCCTATTTCCCCTCTTGTGGGATTGACCCCAATGTCCTCCAAAACTGCAGGAGTGGTTGCTTGGCAGGTGCCTTCGGCGTCTCAGAGGTCAGGCGAACTGATTCTCTCTCCCCCTCTCTTACTCTCTTTCCCTTTTACTATCGTGCTCTCCTTTGGGAACCCCAGGGAACGTCACTGGTATCTCCAACGCACGCATTTGAGTCCGAATCTGGTGACAAAGGTGCCCATCACCCATATTAGGTGCCCTGTGCCAACCCAAGTGCAATGAGAAGCTTGCAATTTTCGCGCCGATTTCTGGGGATCGTGGCAATCCTACCCAGAAAGGAGTCTGTGGTCATGTGGTTGGCGGCACACCTTCAAAGGGTTTCAAAGGCAACGCCGAGTCGAAGCCGCTGCTTTCCAAGGACCGCGGGACGGCGACCTGAGACCCTTCACGGCGCCCTGGCAGAGCAAGGTGCTGGCTGGTCGGCCATTTTGCAGTCGAGCGAAACAGGTGGTTTTTCGGTGGCTTTTTGCTGGGTTGCGTCAAAAAGACACGGGTGCTCCAAAAAGGCATGGCAAGTACGCTAACAGTTGGCGAGGTTCGTATGAAGCTCCATCAACAACCTGAAACAACCAACGTCTTTGAGCAATCCAACTGTCACTTACTCGTACCGGGAATCAACGGAAAGCAGCAATCGCGAATGCCAAGCCCCATTTGTCCCGAAGAAAGGTTCCAGCTTGTGGCTGACTGCCGCCTCTTTGCGGCTGCCCTCCCTACAACGCGGTTTGTGGGTGTCCCTTGCGGGCGTGGACGTGGTTCCGCTCGATCCGTAAGGCTCTGCCCATTGCTCCTGCATCTGTGGCCCAGCTGCAAGGGAGCGAAGGGGCCTAAGCGAGTATTTCCCTCTGAAAGTAGAGATCTTCATCTTCATTGATGATTGCTTTTTGGGTTCCATGCTCATTTGTAGGGGCCTGGGTTTTTCTGATTCGCCCTTCGACAGTTTGGATTCCAGGCTGTTCCCCTTTTACGCTGCAGGGGCCAGCGGTATGCAGAATCATACAGTTCACAAGTGAGCCAACACAAAGCGGCCAACAGACACCAGGACAGAGGGGGGGGAAATTAATGAATCATGAAGATCCGCCCTGCAACTAGCAACTTTGGCCCCTTTGGTCCCTTTGGTCAACCCCTTTGTATGCCTTGGGTTTGTAATCAAGTCTGGGGCCTGCAATGCGTTGCCACTCCCTGGTTCCCTCATGGCCCAGAAGCCATGCCACTGTGTCAAGTGTTCAGAGGGTGAAGGCCTCAAGTTGCATGTGGCATTGCGGCTATTTCCCGCCAGGCCCTAAAACCCCCAACTTGGACCACATTGAGCTGATAGATCGGCACACTTAGCCGAGTGCCGAACCAAGCTCCCGGCTGCTCAAGTGTTCTGTTTGAAAAGTAAGTGTCTCTCGTCTCCAGCTCTAGGTAGCCCCATTTGAGGTGTACATCCCTTCGCCCGGCAGCTCGGTCGATGAGCGCATCGCTGACTTCAGCAACCGCAGAAGGCACAGGAAACAGCAGATGGCCGCACGCGCAAGCACTGAAGGTGTTGAATGCCAAGCCGCTTGAAGGCATAACTACTGAATGTGGAGGCCAAGGGGAGACGTTCTGTTCCCGGGGGGGGGGGGGCATTGTGTGCTTCAAGGTGTCTCGGAGAGCGCATGCAGCGGAGCACTTGTCTCTGGCGGGTAAACCAAAGGGAAACAACACAAAACAAAAACAACGCGAGCAGGCTCAGCAAGCTCTCCCACCCCAACCTGGAACCGACAAGTTGGCCTCTCCCAAGCTGGCAGGAACCTGGTGCTCTTCACTCGCTTGGAAGAGGAGGCACCGGTGCTGAAGGATTGGGGCGTGACAGCGCCATACCGGAATGTGTCAAAACGGAGGCACCCTGGAAATGGGGTGGTTTTGAAATGTCGGCAGCTCCTGGGGGCTTGTGCTGCTAGTGGCAAAGTGCCAGACGCAGTAGCAATTGTAGCAGGGTGGCTAGAGCAGTGGTGGCAGTGAAGGTAGTAGCGTCATGCCCCTTGTAGCATGAGAAGGTAGTGGTAGTGATGGTGGTCTTGCGACAAGGATTGAAGTGATCATGGTCGTCGTTGTTCGGTGAGGTTGCAGACCTGTACCTCTACGGGCGTATGCTGGTGCAGTGTTTTGAAGACGATGAGGCGAGGAGGGTAGATCATCAGGCGGACGCAGACTGCCCCCCACACTTGGCTTGAAGCAGCAAGCAAAGTGTGGAAGGCATTTGTGCGAGAGCTCGCTGGGCTCTGAAAGAAGCCACTGGATATGCCTAGTGTCCCGCGCCACACAGGCACCGTACAAAAAGCAGCCAACAGACCGGAGCCACGCAGTTATATCAATACCAAACAGGGCATCGCCCCGGTTACAGTACCACACAAACGTGTTCCTTGCAAGAAATGCAGAGCGCATGATTTCGTGGCCCGCGTCACATGCCGCCTTGCAGGAGGGTATTCTTGTGCAGGACTTGGCGAGCCGGGCACTCCGGTTTGGATACCAGGGGTGGTCAAGGGCGCTGCGAAGTTTGTCGGGGCCATGCGGAGGTCAAGTCTGCCGTTGGGTGACAACGCGGTGAGTTGGGGTGTGGGTGGTTCAAGAGCGTTTAGGAGAGCCAAGTCTTATTTTGGTTGAATTCCAATGGTGAGGCAACTGGACATCCGGCATTTGGGGGATGCTCAGGCAAAGAGAGGCAAGGCTGTCTGAAACCATTATCAATACGGACACCCACCTCGAAAGGTGTTTTTTTTTGCCAGTGGTTCATTGCCGATTCCTTTCCTGGGATGCGTGCAAGAAACATTCATGCCTATGCAGGAAATGCAAGATGGTGTTCGGGGCTCATGTATCCTAGAGCTTTCCAGGTCTGCTCAGGCACTTCTTTCGGTGGTTGGCTGTTGTGTTCAATCCCCGGACTTACATTTAATACCGTTGGACGGCCTGGCATGGTTGGTTTATTAGTTGGCACTTGCGCGCGTTGACACATTGATTTGATACGCTGGTATGCTGTTCTTGTTTGCTTCCTGGCATTCGTTTCGGGGTTCGATTTTGTTAAGCCTGGTTCAGGTGACATTTCCAGTTGAGCACAAACCAAGAAAACCCGCTGGTTAGGCCAAGCTGCAGGGTGCCGCAGAAGTATCGATTACCTTATGCTACTTTTGCTGGTAGTGGTTTCCCTTGAAGTGTCCCACTACGGGCTGCGGACCAGGATTCCTATTTTTGTCAGGGACCCAAAAAGGAATCCTAGGAGCCCCTTTTTTAGTCGCTATCAGCCCCCATATTGGGATTTGATCCTTCGCAACCGACCACCCCCCTTTGAACAACCCAGGTTTTTGGCTGTTTGGGGGACTCGTTTGGGGGATTTGGCAAGCTAAGGCGATGAGATGTTCAGCATTTCCGAATTTGTGTGCCGCACTCAGAATGCGAAGCTGCTCCCATCTCGAGAATCCCAGAGTGCTTCTAGTGAGGTCCAAAAAATGGTTCATACTTTGACATTTCCGCAGGGGTGCACCCAGTATGTTGTCCTGCCTTGTCACCCACTTTCTTCCTCCAGGCAGTCACGTTGCTCGAAAGAAGCCCAATCCTGCAGGATCATTTGCACAGCTTAGAACAAGGTCACCTGGGTTGCAAGCTCATCCATGGTGAAGGTCCCCTGAAAAGTTTTGGTTCGGCTTGCTGTTTGAGTAGCAACTTGGCGAGCTGAGCGTTGGTTGAAAGTTCAGTCTCGGGTCCATGTGCCATGAGGTGGCACTTTGAAGCTCGGGAGCACGCAGAGCTGGAGCGGCCGGGTCCCCAAGTGTCCTCAGATGTTCAGCGACAGCGACAGCGACGACGACACCTTCTTTTCTCTGCTGTTTGGGATTCCCCACAAGCAAACATGGAGCCCAAGAAGGCTTCCCTTTTTCTACTAGGGTCAACACCAGGTCAAGCCTCGTGTCACAGGTTTGGAGGCTTGGCTGTCTCACACAGACATGTAAACACACACGCGCATGGGCAGAGCTGTACCCTCTGGATGACCGCCAGGGATTTTGCATGATACATCCCACCATCCACGTTCCGGGCAGGAGACTTGCCCGCGTGCACCTAGATTGAGCACCAGCTTTGGTTTCTTGTTCTATCCTCACAGCTGGGTCCTTTCCGATAGCTGTATGGTTGGTCGGTTGGGTGAATCTTGCAGAGGGGACGGCGTGTGGTTCCTGGGGCCATGCTCCTTTGCCAGCTGGGAAGGGAGGGGCATGGGTCCCAGGCACTTCCTGGCAGCACTGACGGCGCGCCCTGCAGCCACTGCAGGCATCAGGGCGGGTGAGCGATGGGCTGGCGTGTTTGCTTGCCTGCCTGCATGATTGCTTGCTTGTTTGTATGCTTGCCTTCTTGCTTGCATGCCTCCTGCCCGGGTGCTTGCTTGCCTGCTTGCTTGCCCACTTGCATCTTTATTTGCGTCTTTGCTTGCATGTTTGCTTGCTTGCAGGAATGCTTGCTGGCTTGCATGCCTGCGTGCTTGCTTGCTTTCTTGCTTGCCTGCCTGCTTGCTTTTGCATGCCTGCCTGCCTGCTTACTTGCTAGTCTTGCTAGCTTGTATGCATGCTTGCTTGCATTCTTGCCTGCATGCCTTCTTGCGTGCTTGCTTGCTTGCATGCGTGCATGAATGCCTTGCCTTCTTGCGGCCTTGATTGGTTTCTTTGCTTTGTGGCAGAGCCCAGGCTTTGAGCCAGCGACAATCTGAGTGGCTTGGCTTGCAGAATTTGGGTAGGCTTGGGTCAAATTGATTATACGAGCCCAAAGAAGGCTTCTGAAACACTATTATATATACTAAGGGTTGGCCCAACCCTGCTTGTTGGCCCCAAAATCGCGCCGGGTGTGGGACAAAGCTTGTCAAGGGGATGCGACTTGTCGGCGCTGCCTGTAGGTGTCACAGCTGTAGCTGATGGTGCACGAATAGGGTGTTGTCCAGCTGCAGTTGCAGCACATCAGACAGCTGCAAGTAGGGACTGGTTCACTGCTTTGCTTCATTTGTAGTGAGCTTTGGGGCGTGCAGAGTGTGCATTTTGAAGCTTGTTGTTCGCAATTTCTATGGCATGTGCTTCTAGATGATTGCAGGTCCGCGACAAATGTAGCTTCTTGTCGCAACTAGTGGCTCTACTTCATCACGCGGCTACTTCTTGTGACAGTCATGGGAATGGGTGGTCGTTTTCAGGTTTTCCCTGCTTGCCATCAGCAAGGTCACATCACACTCAATCCACGTGGGCAGCATTGACGCCCCGCGCGTCACCGCCGCATTAACAGCAATGCTGTGCCAACAATAATGCCATGCCACTGACATCGGTAACGGGAGAATGTCTGAATGATGATTATGACGATGACGATGACGATGACGATGACGATGACGATGACGATGACGATGACGATGACGATGACGATGACGATGACGATGACGATGACGATGAGGATGAGGATGAGGATGAGGATGATGATGATGATGATGATGATGATGATGATGATGATGATGATGATGATGATGATGATGATGATGATGATGATGATGATGATGATGATGCCAACAGCACCGCAAACTTCACCCCAGATCAGCGCCCTTGCCAGCATTACCTACCAAATGAGAACTATCCACGCTGCCGCTACCAACAACAGAACGAGCATACCAAGCTCACCCGGCAACCTTGACAACTTCATGATCGGTTTGCCAGCACTAAGCCCAAACAAGCCCCACAATTTGCTTGCCAACCTTGAGGCGCCATCACCAGCAAAAACAGCGGCACCAAGACCCTCATCGCCACAAAGCTTTCAATCAATCAAGCTTCACCTCATTGTCAACGCCAGCATTGGCACTGACAAATCGTTGCGACACAATCAACAATCATGAGCCCGAACGTCATCACCAAACAGAAGAAGATCAGTGTTGCGCAAGTTCTCCGGGGTTTGCAGTTTGTAGCCTTTGGCTGGCCAAGGTTGCCTGGCAAGAAAGGCGCCAAAGTGCGCCAGGTTGCGGGGGCCGGCGGGCCAGCAAAGCTGGTCCCGGAGGGGGCGCGGGGCTGGGGAAGACCCCCTGGAAGCCCGTCCACGCGAGCGCGTGCCGTTGCAAAACGAATGCCGTTGGCCGAGGTCGGGAGTTGGCATGCCGGTAGGAGGTGCTGGGCCTTCGTGCAGTGCTGAAATCCTCAAATACAATGCCGGATTAGGAGCATTTTTTTCGCGCTGGCATGAGGGCAGGGATGGAGTTCTTGAAATGCAGATGGGGTTGTTCACAGGAGGAGCATCCTCTGAACGCTTTGCAATAGTTCATTCAAAGTATGTTGATTAACTTGGGACACATAGTGATCGGATTTGCATTTAGATGTCCGTCAATAGTGCTGAGGCGAAAGCCAGGAGCAAATGACAGAGTTCTCCAACCATCAACGCAGAAATGTACCAACCAACCAACCAACCAGCCAGCCAACCAGCCAGCCAGCCAGCCAGCCAGCCAGCCAGCCAGCCAGCCAGCCAGCCAGCCAGCCAGCCAGCCAGCCAGCCAGCCAGCCAGCCAGCCAGCCAGCCAGCCAGCCAGCCAGCCAACCACACTAGCAAACCAAAAGGGATGCACAAAACACAGCAGCGTGGCTCCTTGCTTTAGGTAACAGCGGCGACAAATTCAGCCTTTCCCGAGTCGATTTCCGGATTTTGTTTGTGTTTCTTCGTTTGTTTGTCATTGTTTTTTGTTTGACACTGTTCATTCTTTTGGAATGTTCGCTTTGAATGTTCTGGGCATGTTTTCAAACATATTGGTCTTGCTGTTACAATGTTTCGGTTTCTGAATTCTGCAAGGCGTGTGAACGGAGCCACCCCAGGGGATGGATTGCAATTTCGGGGCTCGTAATGTAAACAACTAGCAACCCCAGAAGCCCATTGGAGCCGCCATGTTCCAGCCACCCAGCTACACACCAGTGCCTGTGAAAAGTGTGAGGCAGCCACCGCTCCCTTTCTCTTCCAGGAATGGTTCGGCATGAAGCAAGAGGAAGGACTTGGAATGAAACGGCATGTCTATGATAAGGAGCTCCCTGAACGGTTTGGAACGCAGCTCCGTGTGAGCCCTTGGATCAGGAAATGACCTCCAGTCCTTTGGGCTCGAGTCCCGGGCGACCGAAGGTCTGGGGCAAGCCGCCGAGCCGTTGGCCCAACTCGGCGTGCGGCGCGGAGTTGGCCAAGGGCAGGGGCTGAGCCATGGGAGGCAGAGGCGACAAGGGCGGCAAAGGAGGCAAGGGAGACAAAGGTGAGAAGGGGTACGGCAGAGCCAAAGGTGAAGAATGGGGCGGAGACAAAGGTGGAAAAGGAGAGAAAGGAGACAAAGGATACAAAGGCGGAAAAGGAGACAAGGGATACAAAGGCGGCCCTGGAAATACTCAAGGTGCCGTGGTTGCAGTTCAGGCGGTGGTTGGAAGCTTCAAGTTGCGCTGGGGTCATCGTGAGACAGAAGTGGGAACACGGGCAGGTTGGTCGGTTGGCTGGCCGACTGGATGGTTGGCTGGCTGGCTGGTTGGTTGGTTAGTTGGTTGGCTGGCTGACTGGTTGGTTGGCTGGTTGCTGGTTGGTTGGTGGCTGGCTGGCGGGCTGGTTGGCTGGCTGGCTGGTTTGTTGGTTGATTGGTTGGCTGCCTTCTTGATTAATGCTTGGCTGTTTGGCTGATTCAAAGCTCTTTGCTCGCACTTGGATCCCGGGTTGGCCTATGGTACTTTTCCGAGGTTCGCGCTGTCGCGCGTTTCCGCCTGCTGTGGAGCCGCGCCTCCCGCAGGAGAGACTCAGCCCAGGCCAACTGGGCACAATGGTGACGAAATGGCGGGATGGACAAGCTGAACTTGGGCTAGCGTTTTTTGATGGTACCCGTTTTAGGCTGGTTTAAAGGGGCGCCAAAGGGAGAACCGCAGCTTTTGGCAACCCCCACTCAATGTCCAGGCGAGATCCGAACCTTCGCCCGTGGCGTGCTGGGCACTGGCGAGCTCTACTTCGAACTTCGCGGCTCGTGGCTCGGTTTTGAGGCGAGAGGGCCTGATTTTCTTTACAGCCGTGCCAAACAGGTGAAGGCTGAATGTCTGCACCTTTGGCTTGACATTGCCTGACAGATCCGGCTTGTTTTTGGTTTTTGTTTGTGTTTGGGTTGGAATCCCAGGTTGGGCCCCTGACATTCACTCTTTGGGAGGTGGTAGTTGCATCAGAACCGCTTCATCGGTCGATCAGCCCTTGCAGGGCATACGCAGTAATTCCTGCCAACTGCGCAGCAGTGCAAAACCTGAGTGTGTCACAACCGGGAATGCCTTTGGAAAGATGTTTAAGATGGGAAGCAAGATGAGTCTACCTGTTGCGTCCTTTGAGGTAACCCTCCGCAGCCAAGCGCCCAGGTTGTCTGAAGAAACTCGTGTTCAACGCAGCGCATCGTGTTTTTTTTTTTTTTGCAAGGGCGAGACATTTGTTGGCTCCCCCCCGGGCTCAAAACCTATATGAGGGCCGTCGAAATCAAGCGCACCCGGGTCTAGCGTCTCTCACCTTCCAAAGTCTTCTTCCGTTGCGGTGCTTTGCGGTGCTTTGCGGTGCTTTGCGGTGCTTTGCGGTGTTTTGCGGTGCGCGAGGCACCCCTACCTTTCACCAACCATAGCTCAAGACTTCTCAAGGCTTTTGGGCAAATGTAAGTTGCAAGCGTGTGGTGTGGACGGTAAGGTGCGTGGTGCATTTGGCCGTCCCGGCGCCCACCAAGCTGTCGGGCACCGACCACGCGGCTTTCGCGGGCAGTGGGCCGGTGGAAGTGGGGGGCCGGCGCTTCGGCTCGGTGCAGGCGCTGGGCGGTGGTTTCAAACTGGTCCCTTCAGACCAGTTTGTTTGGCTGGGTGGAACAATATGGTGTGAAGGTCAGATGACAAATGCTCTGATATGCATTCTTGCAACAACTCCGCCTGTTTCTTTTCTTGCAACGCGCATCTCTTCTTCCCGCTCTTCTCGCCATCATTGCTTTCTACTTTTCTCCCCACTCGCGTTTGTCGTTGGCTAAAGTGGGTGGAACTTCTGGGATTTCCCTCAGTCCAGTTGCTGGAAGTCTCCAGAACGGCATGGCCTTCCAGGATCCCCTCAGGTTTCGGATTGGCTGGGAAGAATTCCTGGCCAAGAAGGCGCACCACCCGTTTGCAGGGTTCCGCACCGTTTAAAGAATATGTCAAGACTGGGACTCCTCCGCATGGTTGGTGTCATGTTGCTTCTGTTGCGCAACCGCCTTGAGCAGTATTTCACGGCTTTCACGCGCACACGCGCGCAGACAGTCACATTTTCTCTCCATGTTCCTTATGCGCAAGGCCTTGCTGCAGGAAGTGATCAACATCCGCACCGGGCACAGCGAGTTGGGCCGTTTCGTGCGACTGAAGGCGGGGTGCGCCCGCAAGGTGTGGGGAGGTTGGCCCGCATCCCGCAGCCGAGACGAACGCGCCGGGCGCGCTGTTTTTGAATCCCGGTTTGGTCCGCAGCCATGCCATTTATTTTTGCAAGCTTCATGCCAAACGCCGTTCTATCAGAGATGCTGCAAATCAGCCCTGCCATGAAAATCCCCAAGTGTGATGAACGCTATCATTTTCCTCAAATCATCAAAGCGCGGGGTGGGAGCGATGCTGGAGCCAGCCGGGCTTGGTATTTAAGTTGACGATTCAAGTTCCTTGTAGGCTTCAAACTTCAAAGCCTGCAGCGGGTTCTCCCGTTGGAAAAACGGGTGCGCTTAGAATCACTGCGCGTATTCCCTCGGGGGATGTATGCCATCATATTTGTTTGTTGGACAGAAACAGGGCTTGTTTCCCAGCAATGACAGCTATTAGTACATTTGTTTTGTGTGTTGCGTAGTAGCCTGTGGGCTCATGGGCTCTTCTTGCCAAAGTCCTGGGGGACGCCCCGAGGCGGGCCCAGAACGCCTCATGCGCCACGTCTTCGCTTACCACCCGGAGGCCGAGAGGAAGCTGAAGGGCCTGCAGTTTATCCAGGCATGCGGGCCCTGTTTGTTCAAGCCTCAACCTTCTGTTGGACCCCGAAGCCAAGAGGCAGGTAGTCATGAAGCAGGCCGTGGGCTTGGAAAACGAACGGGTCCCTTTCTCCTTTCCTGTTTAAATCTCACCACCAAAAGGACACTCACTTCAAACCGTCCATAAGGTGATGTTTAAAGCCGCCAAAAGGGCAAATTCTACTGGTTTCACCTAAACCACCCTCAGGAGTTGTTTGCAGGGAGGTCTGAATTATGGGCCCTGCTGGCCTGGTGCCGCCTTGTGCCGCATTTTAAAGGGGCTACCAAAAAGGGATCTAGTTTTGACAACCCCCTACATAGCTACCAAGGCTCTAAGCGTACATATCCCGGTAGCCAGTGGAAATTAGACGGGCCCTCATATTTTTCCCCTTTGTTTGGGTTTGCGGCCACACAAAGTTGGACACCAACCCTTAAAAGAGTTCCAATCCTTTTTCAGGGGGGATCGTCGGGTTGGAGAAAGCGACATGGAAAGGCGAATTGTCCGTGTACTCCACTGGGAAAGGGAGCCAATATAGAAGTTGCCTTGTTCCCCAGATAAGTCGACAACAACTGACCTGTGTTTTGGGCCTCCCATCGCACTCTGCCCTGGCTTCGCTTCCCCCAGCCTCGCCAGCTCCTTTGTCGTACCCTGTGCTTATATGAACTTTTAGGCTCCACCCAAAGGAAACCAAAAGGGAATGGATTGAATGGATGATTGGCTTGGTTGGCCTGAGCTTCCGTCAGCTTTGTTCGGCCGTACATTGAAGACCGCACTCAACAGCTCGACTGCTTAACGCTTGGATGCTTCGGTTCGTCCTTACGACTGGGTGGCCAGCCAGTAGCTTTGGCTGTGCAAGGTAGGCCCCAACGCGCAGTCTTGCCGCGAGAGTGACACCTGCTTCTTTGTCATGCGCAGCGAGGAGGACATTGCCTTGAGCCATAGTTGGGCCATGTGATTTGATGGTGGGCTGATGGGGGGCTGCAAGATTCGCCTCTTGTCATCAACCAGAGATGTTTCGCGCATTGGGTTTCCAAATGGCTAGAACCAGCTGACCAGCTAATCAGATACGGCTACTGGCCG